TATATATATATATATATATATATATATATATATATATATATATATATATAAATCTCGATTTGCACTTTCAGCAACTGTTAGCTTAATTGGTCTCATAGTAAATTAAGTATTTAAACAACTCCGTCTGTACATTAAAGCCCAATTCCTAACGGTGCTGAATTGATTGTGATTGACGTTACTGACCAATATGTCTATATCGGGAAGTGCAGTCGGTTATACAATCGAAAATCAACGTCTCCCCATAGGATCGAATTATATTACGCAACTTACTTTTCAATCGTGTGACTTTCAGAGGGAGTAATAATTCCTACGTAATGAACACGATACATTTATCGTTATTACTCACGAAAATAAGCTATAATACTAAACGTTAAGAAGTACTTGATCTCGGACGGAAAATTGTTGATAATACTAACAACAACAACAGCAATAATAATAGTAATAATAATAATAATAATATTGATAATGTGTCATCATAACACTGATATTTACACAATAGCTCGAAGAAGTCTTACCATGTCAATTATTAAATTCGGTAACGATACATTGCCGTGTCTGCATAGAAATCTACACATATTGCAATCTTTCTCTCTCTCTCTCTCTCCCCCTCTTTCTCTCTTTCTTTCTTTCTCTCTCTTTAGATTGAAAGATCAAAAGATCTAAAATATCTCACGGAAATATCGTTATTAACAGCGAAAATTAAAAATTTAAATAGACGACCTGGCAGCGCGATGGAAACGCACAGCCATAACAATCATATTGACTTTGCGCGTAATATAACAAACGTAGAGATCATGCTATGAATTCTCCAGCTTGATTAAACTTTGACACTGCTTTGTAACGTGCTTAATCGAATGATGATAGCGAGGGACACTTGTTGGGGATTGAATGTGATTACATAGCGAAACGAATCGAACGCGACAGGAATGATTATCGTACGTTATATCGCAAGCGAGACGAATCTCTGCTTGTTTTCTCGCACTTTTCACGTGGTTACGAGTGAAATGTGACGTTGGAAATCTGATTCCGATTCCTGACACGTGGTTAACAAATCCCTCGATGCAAACAAGCAAGCAAGCAAGCGATTGAACAAAGGATGCAAACTAAAAATTCGCGACCGGGTTATGTTTGAAACTGCGTGCACGCTAAATTTTGCATCGCTCGTACCCTTTTTCGCACGGACTTTCACGGAGAAAGCAAGTAGTCTCGACGATCACCGCAAGTCTATTTTTCATTTATTATCAGTTCTTTCTTTTGGCGTATTGATGGTGGTGTACTAACGAGACGGGAGAACAGAATAACGTGTACTGCTACAGAGTCGTGAAATAATGTGTCTCTCATATCCCAAGTTTATTTTTGTTAGCTAGATATACAATAAAAAAATTGTGTAAATTAATTTTCTTAAATTCGTATCTCTGCTTAAAAATTTCTCCGTAAGGCTCTGCTATTTCTTGGGCGGTCATATTGGTTTGATGACGTCAAAGCGAGAAATGACATACCGAAAGTTCCTTGCGTCTTATTGCTTTATTTTTTACTTTTCCCTGAAGAACCAAATATTTTCCTAATCTTGAAACCTATGAAAAGTATAACAAACTCAGATATCTAGCTGATATATCACGTAGCATCGTAAAATAATTCTTGAAGTAATGCTATATTTTTCGGCTGTCAGTGATTTGTGACAGCTGAGATATCAGCATGTATGAACACATTGAATTTCTCGATTTTCACAATGTATCACCAGCATCACGGAGTTTACTACACATTTTACGACTGTGAGGATTACGATAATATACACACTTCACAGAGAAACTGAAAAATAACGCGATAAGACGCAAGAAACTTTCCGAGGTGTCAAGCGAGGCCTGGCTGTGAGCCTGGCCTAATGTCAGCCAATCAGCTACGCTGACACAGTTATTTCGTGTTCTCGACACTGCTAGGCGCCACCGTCAATTCAGACTTTCTGCGACGAGATAGCAGAGCCTTGAAACTGTCAAATTTACTGTTTCCATAGTAACTTGTAATAACTTTCAGTATAGTCCATCTTTAGAAAGGATGCTGCAGAAATGCTGCAAAAACATAAATTTAACATAATTTTTATTGCAATAGTTTCTCCGTACACGATATTAGAATGACGAAGTCATATCGCTTAATATTGCTCTATACATTTCGTTCACGATAGATCGTTAGCAGATCCCTTCTGTTATCTTCGACGGCTATATCTTATTCCGTTACTCACAGACACTGTTCCATTCTCCCGTCAATAGTCTTATAGTCCACCACTCGTCTCCTGCTGATTCTTTCACGGACGTACATCGTGTAAAGGTATCGTAGAAAAATCCAAGGAGAGAGTGTGATCGGTAATTGTTTAAAATAACTATCCTCATCTCCGATTTTGATGAAAATAGGCTCATTCGACGCGTTTTTACTAAAAATAAAAGAATCTGGCCGAAAAAATGTCGCTCTGCCTCGCGAAGCGAGATATTTAGCGTTAAAGTTAGTCACATCCAAGGTTAAGAAATCTGTCATCTAAACGTAATGCGAATTAGGCTTTTCTCTGCTTTAATCAAAAGCATAAACTCTGTTATAAAGCAAAGAATAGTTCATGTATGCTTTCCTCTGCTTTAATAATATACACTATCTTATAAAAGTTAATAATTACCTTTTTATACGGATTAAAATTTAGATCTAACATTTCTTTAAAATAAATGTATCAGTGCAGCTAAAAAGAACAGACCCCATAGGGCAAGCGGACGTACACGAGTGCGTTGTTGAACGTATTTCAGTGCAAGCCTAGTTCGCATTACGTTCAGATGATAGATTTCTTAACCTCGGATGTGACTAACTTTAACGCTAAATATCTCGCTTCACGAGGCAGAGCGACATTTTTTTCGGCCGGATTCTTTTATTTTTAGTAAAAACACGTCGAATGAGCCTATTTTCATCAAAATCGGAGATGAGGATAGTTATTCTAAACAATTACCGTGTGATCTAATACTTAATATAGCCGTATCTTAATCGATCGCGTGTCGTCATGTAAATTCGTTTGACGCTTATACTCAGGTAGTGATCCCCGAGGATTACCTCGGCGATTATATCGAGTCCGCTGGGCGGATCGACGTTTATTTACATTCTCTCACCGTGTCCCACAATAATTAATGACATGCCAAACTCGCGGGCGACCCTCGGAACTCATTAACGCTCTCGTCATTGGAGTTACAAACAAGTGGTCGTCCAAGTACTCCGGGAGTCGTCGACTGTCGGACGTGACAGACTCCAACGCTCCTCGCCGGGTCGATCGCGCTTCCGCCAAAATAGCGACTACAGTATCGAAGACCACCTACCATTAATTAAAACATGGAACGGACTCTTGGAACGAAAGTCCTTGCCGTCCCGTCGTTGTAGTCGTTGCCGGGTGATTCGATCGCCGACGAAGTCATCGGCGACATCACCATCGTCGTGCACGCTCGGCCATGGTCACATAGCCATGGAGCAAAGTGGAGCATCGCTAGACCTCCGTCGAGTGTGTCTGTATACGCACTTTCTTTTGGGAGCCGTTTCTGGACAGGGTCGGACTGTGGGCCGAGAAGCCAGGATTATGAATGCCGAGGGGTTTCGGCTTCTTCAGGGAGCTCCTAAGAGGCGAGGCCGTGCTGGCCACGCTGCCGGAAGTCGCCACCGACGCCATCGATCCGTTTCCGGCCCCTCCGACGTAGGGCTTGCCGCTGGCGTCTGTCATTGAGATCGTACCGCCTGCGAACAGGGTGAGATTAACGTAACATTATCTTGGACTTG